CGCAAAGACTCGCCAGCTGCTCCTGCAGCCTCCGCGTCAGCACCCGCGATCCCGCGCGGCGTAGAACTGCTCGGGATCCGTGTCCAGTCGTCGTACCGAACAAGCGGGTCGGGTCGGTGGAACGGAAGAGATCAATAGGCCGATACCACCGTGGTTCACGACCGGGGGCAGTATCCCCTCCAGACATCAACCAAGCAATACTGAAGACATGTCAAAGGCCATCTAATTATATTGGATCTACAATGGATCTGCAGTGATATGTTTCTGACATGCCTAATCATGCCTACCCAGAAAGGGTTGTCAATATGTGACATTTGGGGATAGTTTCCCCATCAAACACCCTTTGAGTCGACGACACAGGGTTTTGGGGGACATTCCCATTCCCCGTCCCTACACTACACCTAACCTCGTGGTATTTTCAAGGTAGCAGGTCGTTTGTTGAAGGAGCCTCTGCAATCACGCCGTGGCTCGCCAGAGCGGGTGGAGTCAGACGATCGCTTGGTTTTCGGCCCAAGGACGTGGGGACCGTGGTGCTCGAAGGCTCCAAGTCCGAAACTGCCTGTCTGGGACTGCCATATGTGCCGCCCCATTGACCAAACCACCCCAACTGAGCGGCAGTCCTATGGCCGTCCCATGGAGTGTGGATGGCATGGACCAGACTGACGATGTTCCGAAGACCAAGCTGACTGTGGGTCTCTTCCGAAGTCTTAAAGGCCAAAAATCGATCGAATTCAACACACCAATATCCACCTGGATCCCGGGTCGTTGTGTACAGCGGAGTCCAGCCAGGACACCGGACACCCAAACAGGATGGCCCTGACATGTAGCATGTGTCCAACATGCTTCCAGATCCAGAGTTGCAAGACGATCCTCATTCCAGTTCAAGTCTCCCAGAGACAGTCCCAGCAAAAAAAATACACCAAGGTCAACCAATGGAAGTGGATGTCCCCCAAAGAGTCCCGGAAAAAAAAAGAATAAACATTCGGGACCGATGATCAATCCCAGACACGACGGTCCATGTGACTGCCTCCAGGACTGCCGATCAGGCCAGGGATGGTGCCAGGGGGTCTGTCTGGGGCGGCAGTCCGGACTGGCAGTCCCATTAGTCGTGTTTCCCAAATGCTCCATGTATGCTGGAATATACATAGACCCTTTTTCAACCAGCCCTTCATGTAAATATGTTAGTCCCATGAGTCGTGTCTCAGTTTGGACCGAGCCACGGCCCAGGCTCCAGCGCGACTTCCCGCTCGCCGAAGCTGGGATGCGCCACGCGGATGGCGTGCCGTGCTGCGCCACGGGCCATGGGACGATGGAGGAAGTGGAGCCCGACCAAGAAGGGGAGCGGAGATCGGGGACCCAAACTACGTAGTGGGACGGATAGGCGAAGAAGAAGTGTGGCCAAAAACATCCTCTAGGTAGGGCTCCAAGTAGCTTCCAAGGTAAGGTGTTTGGGGTAGGGCTCCAAGTAGCTGCCAGGAACCAGGACTGGACCTTCGTTGGTACTTGGAGTTGTACAAACATTCTGGACTCCATGGACTCCGGTACTGCTTGCATCTTGTTGCCCTCCAACAAGTTTTCAAGGATGTTGTTGTGTTCTTTTTGTATCATGGACATGAAGAAAAACCAGTTTCAGTTGACTGAACAGTGCTGGTGTGGAGAATCCACTTGTTCGACTTGAACAGTCCACCAACGAGAACTTCTGTTTGAATCCCGCGTCCACCGAGCCATCTCTGTCTGTGCTCCGCATGTTTGGTAGTGAACACTGCGTTGGCGTCGCCGAGTGGGTGGCCGCAAGAGAGCCCGGAGTCCCCCGGTTGCCCGTTGGCCTTCCGTTCAACCTGTAAAAAAACATGGTTGACCCGGTTCTGTACACGTAGAATCCTTAGGACAACTCAACGACCCGGTGGTTGGATAGAAACCTGTTTACCATTGAATCCATCGTGGGCCAGGAAGCCTGGGGTGTAGAGTTTGGGCCCCTTTTGCAAGAGTTCCTTAGGAAAATGGGAGCCTATTCTCGAAATCCAGGATCCAAAGACAAGCAAACAACGCTCATCGACGAGAACCTCCTAAAGCTTGGCCCGCTCGTGTGGCACCTATAGAAAACAAAAGGAGTACTAGTAGCGATGCACCTTGTTACTAGTAACGTGCTTGCTACGTTCGTAGTAATGCCAGGAGAAGCTACGTTCGTAGCGATGCACCTAAGCAGCTCCGCTCAGCTCAGCCACGATCAACTCTTCAACATGTTGGAACCCATCTCTCTCCCGTCGACACCAGGTTTGCGTCCCTTGCCGTCGAAAAAGAACCAACCAGCTGGGAGGGCTGGAGACATGGACCACTTGTTTCCTTGGCCAACCGGGTTCCCATGGTCCCATGGTCATGTTTGTTTGCAGGTTGCTCCATGTGACTCTTGGATTTGAAGAGCCTGCTAAATTTTGATCACTTAATCTCCGGATGCTGTAGCTTGGTCGCTACATCCCAACGTCAATCCAAAACTATTGAACATTGACTTGCATAACTTGCCCAAGCAGCTAATTACAGTAACTCACAACGTAACAATGAAGCTTGGACATTGCTGAACAGTCCCCCCCCAGCCCTATGACCAATTAAGGTGCCGACTCTCAGTGCAAACAACAACAAAGGGTGAAAACAACTGGCCGCTTTATGATCTTCATGGACAACTGGTTGTCATCAAGTGGTTGATTGCATCCAATCACAATCATGGTTGTTTGTAGGCTTCATGCATTCAAAGAGAACAGAACTATAGTCCCATGGTATAGTTGAGTTGAGAGTAGATGGCCCCATCCTTAAGTTTGGTGGTTCATATATGGACCCCCATCTATGTCTGACCTCTTGGGCCGGAAGGTGCCATCGAAGCTCTGAAACCAAGCAAAACAGGTTGAGAGACCGACCCTAAAACCCTTAGGACCAAGGACCCTGGTCTGTGGTACAGGGATGGGCCCTCTGAACAACCTCTCTAGGAACTACTAAAACAATCTAAAACATATTCCCCAGCAGGGGATTCACCCAGTTCGGGAAAAAACCCACACATCACCTGCCTCAGCCGCCTTCCTAGCCCGAAGCCCCACCCCTCTGGGGCCAACGCCCCATGCGACCCTGCGACACTTGGTCGTGGGGACTTCCCACGCGGGGCGTTGGATCTGAGATCTGCACGGTGTCCATTCGGGCACCAAGCAGTTCGGGTGATTGGAAGGAAAAAGACTAGTCAATTACACCATCTATGCATCATATCTATATGATTCTATATGCCTATACTGCCTATACTGACCCCTGAAACCACCCCAATGTAGGCAAATATGTGGCATAGACGGAGTGTGATAGGGGTGTGTATCAAACGCCCAAACTCCGTGCTGGTACTTGGCTGGTTGCTTGTTAGTCTGGGCTGCAGATTTCTCCCGTGGTTTTCACTTTCCTCCGTCTGCCCCGTCCGTCTGCCTTTGGTGGACCGACGGGTCACGGGGTACGTAACGATGTTCACAGCTTCCCCTCTTCGAAGTGCGGAACCTCTGTTGGCAGCCAACAGATCTAGAGGTTGAAGAACCCGAACTAGGCTATCCCAGTTCGGTACCCTGGTTTTCCGGGTCCTGTTTACGGTCACTTCACCTCTGTTGGTGTCTCCCACGTCACGTGTTCACGAGCCGGCTTTCAGAAGTGGGTGCTTCGATGTGCTGTGTCGCATCCGGGTGATCGACGGGTCGAGACGAAGAGATCGACGGGCCAGGTGGATGTTGGGGTGGTTTCGCCCATCTTCGTCCCATTGGATGGGGCAAATGTGATGTGAATGTGACAAAGGCACCTCCGATCTTCCAATCAGCACGGGCACCGGCACCGATAGATCCTGGTTGTGACTGAACATCTGGACCATCCAATGGGTGTCCAATGGAGAGATCTCACTATAGTTTAAGAAACACACATCACCCGTCTTGAGGGCCCAAAAACATCAAGAGATCGATTTGGTTCAGATTTGCTTCTGGATCTGATGCTCTGAGACTTGCCAAATTTGCTCTGAGACTTGCCAGATTTGCTCTGAGACTTGCCAGGTAAACCACACCCTGAACAACCACACCACTGGAACCAGCATCCATCTGCTGGTTCCACTGGTTCCCCCGTCTGTTCCACCGGCCAAGTCCCGTCCGCCCCGTGCCGCTTTTGTCGGACCGCGAGCTCTCCATACGCACCGTGCTCTCCAGCGGCAGCACCGGTGTCCTGTCGCACTGGCTTAGACACGGGAAGCGACCGGGCGATCCCCCGACCGAAGGTGAGCGATCGATTTCTGAATGGTGGGAAGCTCCATATTCACATGGTGAGGGAACACGACGTCAAGGGAACACCAAGGGAGCCAAAATCGGTCCGGAAACCCCGCAAGTGTCTGAACATGACCATTGCCAACGACCACCCCATCTGAAGACCCTGTCGTCGACCGTGCTTTCTTGTTCCACGTTGTGCTGGGTCGTCCACAGTCGGCTCCAGACTGATCAGTCGCAGCTTCACCCTGCTGGGCTGGGCGAAGCTAACCCCGGGCCAGGCAGGACCGTTCCCCAGTTCCCCGTCGCACTTCCTACGTATAAGGATCTCCAAATGATATGCAATTCCCATTTATAGATGGGCACCAGCTATTTCATGCTAGGAGTCACATGTCGGGGTGGTGTTTTTCTCCAATACTCAGTGAGTGGATGTTGCACCCCGACGACCTCAGGACGTTCGGCACCCCGGGTCTGGTGACTGGCAGTCCTGACTCTCGGAGTGGAGTTCAAACGGATTTCAAGGGGCTGGCAGTTCCAGGTCGTGTCTGGGTTTAAAAGAGATTGCCTTCTTACAGGTCACTTGGACCCTCATTTTACTGGAAATGATGAAACAAAAACACTCCCCAACATACACCTCAGTCTGAGGCTTTCAGAACTCCGAACCCGAACCCTCCCATCACATCCATCCATCCGCGGACTCTCACCACCCATCTCGTCCCCGGTCCAATCTCACCCGCCTCAGCCGCGGCGTTGCTCCAGGGACGCTTGAATTCGCACAAACTCGTTGGGATCCGCGACCTGACACGGTGCGGCTCCGGTGGCGTGGCTCCGCTGGCGATGGCGATGGAGTCTCGGAGGCGGGCGATGGCGGTGTTGAGAGGCGGGCAAGAGCATGTCGGTGTGCTGACTGACGGTGTTCTTGTTAAAATCTCTTTCTGGTCGGAAATGACCTAAAGAAGCTTTGGCATTCGGTGGTTCTAGAAGTGTTATTGCGCAAAGGGGTTCAGCAATCCACTTGGGAGTTATTGAAACGATACCCAAAAACCACGGAAGTGTGGGTAGGAAGACTCGATAAGACTCGTTCTGACTCTTTTGTTCGCTGGTTGCACTGAGCGAAAGTGGCGTTCTGTCCATTCGTCTATTCAATTCTTTTCATCCCTTTTTGCAACTCCTGGTGCTTCAGTTCGGACGCCAGAAATTCGCTGCGCGAGGCGCGCTCAGATTCGGACCGGACCTTTACCTTTCAATTGGAAGGACCGACCTAGCTGCGTGTGAAATCACGGAAGAAAAGCACCGCACCGCCGACGGCGGCGAGACACCCGCTCGACCGCGGCATTCGGCATGGCGGCCTGAAGCATGTGCTTCCGTAGCAAAGCCAGCACCTGGCGCATGGCGGGAGAGGCGAGCAGAGAGGCGAACCGTCAGGCCTAAGAGGATTCCGAAGGGGAAGCTTCCAAAACGCAGCTTGAAACCGGCTGGTGGTGGTATGAATCAAAATACGGATTCTGCACCTGCAGGTCAACAAATCATGGTCCAAGAGGTAAAGCTTCTCCCAGTCCCCTGCAAGCTGGTGTTTTGTTTCGTCCTCCCCACCTGCTACGTCGCCAAAGCACGGGCCCACACGGTCCCGCAGTCCCTCCCCTTCTCCTCTTCAGAACAGCGGGTTTGAATTAGTAACGCCGTGGGGCACCTGCAAGCCCTTCTCCTCTTCCAACTTCGACAAGAACTGGGCCACTTTCTCCAGCCGAAGCTCCTGGCCGACTCGGAGCGCTACGTGCCGGTGCCGTCCGCGGTGGTGCAGCGTGACGGGCGGTTCAGAAAACGGCGGGGTGGCAAACAGTACGACTCCGAAGAAGAAGTTGTGGTTTTTCATCTGTCTTCACTGCATCCGTTTGGCCAACAAAGTTTGGAAGAATCTGAATTCACTGTTTTGGTGAGTCCTGCTTGGTCAAACGTTCGTGAACATGGCCCGCAGTTCATATATGAAGCGTGGGGACTTCGCAGCAAATTACATGATTCGTGGGCTGACGGAGAGTTCTTCACGGTCACGCTGGCATTGAAAATGGTATTCAATGATTTGGATCGTGTGAACAGCATCCTGTACCCTTGCAGGCCGCATCAAATGGCAAGCAGTAGTTTTCATCTATTGGGTTGGATTGCAGTAGTGGCAACCCATCCATCGCATGCTCCAAACATTATGGTCCGAAAATGTCCGAAACATCAATTCCTCAAAGATTGTATAAGGCCAAGTCTTGTGCTGAGGTGGTCGAATCCTGGGTCAGCTGGAAAAGGAAGACTGTTTTTTTTGCCTAAAAAGTCCCTATACCTCCAGTCCACCACCCAACGCCCTATCAGCAGAAGTGTAGGACATCCCTGGGACGTGCAAAACCATCCACTCTTCAAATACATTAAAATCGCTGTGGCGTCTCCAATCGGATCCTTCATCTTTCCGTCCTCCTCGGACTCTAGATCTTACCTGGCAGGTGATCCATTCCGGACCTGATCTGGCGCGATTCCCGCCCCTTCCATCGGTGTCTGCCGCGGAAACCGCGAGTCTCGCGAGTCTCCGTTCCCGGCGCCTTCTTCAGCTTTCCCGTCTCGTTGAGCTTGGTGATGCAGTCCACCACCGAGCGCCTGGCGTGGTCGACCCCCGCTGGGCCGGGAAGCGGGCAGGTCTGAGTTCGGGTGGATCTTCCAACGGTTAAGTGACCTGAACTAGGACCCCCATAAAGGGCTCCTGGGGGTACCGAACTATGGCATAGTCTGAGTCGAACAGTCCAGTCGGGTTCTGAAAAACCTCTAGGACCCGGAACTCCTAAAAGTGCCGAACTGGGATAGTCGAACAGTCCAGTCGGGTTCTGAGTCGGATAGTCTGAGTGGATGCTTTTCACTCTTCACTTCAGCCCGTTGCCGCCACCTGATAGAGACCGTGGCTTCCTTGGGCTTCGTGGCCAAGGGTGGCAAGGAGGGCTGCGGCGGCAGGTCCTGGGCCAAGCCGCCAGGAAGGAGGGCTCAGATAAGGAGGGCTCAAGATATCGGTAAATATGCCGAATGACATGCATTTATAAGGAGTAGGTATATTAAAATATGTGTGTTTGGTCCATTGGTTTTTCTCGGCACCCCAAGTGGGTGGTGCTGGTGAAGGTTTTGTGTTTTGGTCTCTCAATGTATTGTCGCACATGTGTTCTTTCGCCTCCTACACCGAAGCATGTGTGCTTTCGCCATGTGCCTCCTACTCTTCGCTCTCGGTTTAAACCTGCACAGGTCTCAGGCCTTCTTCTTCAACTTCTTCAACTGATCTACACTCGGAGGTCTCCCTATTTTAGCACACAACCGGGTGTCACACACCTGATCTGGTAAAACGGTTTGAGGACTCCTGTGCAATTCAATGGATGAGAGAAGGGGCTTGTCAATCAAGTATCATCAAGTCCTACCAACAAAGGTTGAGTGACCTTGTAGGACCCTACAGGGGTATCTATGGGATAGTCACTAGGTCACTAGGGTTCTTCAACCTCTGTTGGTATAGTTTCTCACGTGGAAAAATCACCACGAACATCCACGAACCATCCGGGATCCCTTCACGAAGGGCCCGATGTCAGGCTCGCGGATCTCCACTGGTTCATCCCCTGGACCACCTCCAATGTATGGAATATATGCCTACCTGGACCACCCAATTCAATTTCAAAGCACAAGAACAAAAGTGCCATGCATGCTGGACCAAAAATGCGATATTTAAGAAACACATGAGAGGTAGACGTGGCCCACAAATTCACTTGGATAATAAATAATCTTCTCATTTGTCTGCGGAGGATTGGGCTTGAAAAAACAGCCTGGTCAAGCTGAAGTGTTTGTCAGGTGTTCAATAAGACTTGTTTGACAAATTTTGCAAGTTGCAGCGCATCCAAGAGTTACCCCATGTTGCCCCTTCATCAACCGTTGGAATGCCCAAAGTTGAACTGGAGAGTCTGCTGTGTAGGGCTTCATCAATCATGCACCCGTATTGTGTCCTGTTGCACCAGGTGCAGGTCAAGAACCCCCAAAGAGCACAAAAAAGTATCAAAAAGTGACACTTTTTTGACATGACAGCTCCAACAAGCAGGTTCTTGTTTACCGGCTTTGGTTGCCGTGCAAAGGTTGCTCCAGGTACATTGACACCCCGGCAGATCCCAAACAGGTCGCGTCTGGTTCATCTGAGGTGCTGCTTCAATGAGAGCTCCCAAGTAGTCCAAGAACTGCCTCGGCACAGCGGCACAGCCAACCCAGCAGCCCACCGCCCCCCCGGTGGGTCTCGGTACTGAAACAGTGGGGGAGTTTCCCTGGAAGCACCCAGCCCCCTCAATCACCCCACCCGAACCAAAAAACCATTAATTGATCAGTGATGGAGTGATCATGTTGCTTGTATCGTACTACTCCCACATGTCTTTGGTTTGATGTTCTCGCTTTATGAATGGGGGGGACAGCGATCGAACGAAGCCGGGGCAGGGTCGTTTTGTGATTTTCCCGCTTTCTACATGTCCATAAGGCGTAAAAGGCCAAGACTTAAAGCCTGAGGGAAGAGCGGCACCAAAGAGGCACCAATGAAAGCGCCACATATCAGTGTTATATACCTTTGCTACCAGAACCGCACCCCCAAGAAAGAATCAGAAGCACTCAATATACATCAATATACCGTGTTTTCCCCAGGTTGATATCAAAGTAAACCACGAACAAATTCAACCGGTCAGTTTCAAAACACTGACCTTTTGACTGGCAATTCAATATTCAGCTACTTTTAATGAATTCATCCGGTTTGCCCATCCAGGATACATCCACTCCGAGAACCTCAAAAACCCTCCATACAGGGGTCTGCACTCTCATGCCACCCTTTGTGCCCAGACTCTTTGAGCAGAACAAATCCTTAAAGATTCCAATCATGCACTTTCAGTCCAAATCCAGGTCGATCGTAAGCAGCTCAAAAGCTAAGACTTAGTGGCGCGGAAAAACAAAAAAAAAAAACGCTCCCACGCGACTCCGCTCGCGACTCCGCTCGCGACTCCGCTCGCGACTCCGCTCGGTTCGTTCTCCAAGGTCACTGGATGAACTCCAACTCCAACTTGCTGGGGTCCGAGGTGTCTCGCAGCATCCGGCAATATTGCACCTCAGCCGTGGACCCACCGGACCTTCCCGGTCCACCCGCCCAAGGATGACCTTGCCAATGCGATCTGAGAGGGGTTGCGATCAAGGAACCGGTTCTGATTCTTCAGCAGAAGGGGGATTGAACTGATCACAGCAAGGGCTTGTATTTGAATGGGGTGATTTCCCAAGCAAGGGGTGCAAGGGGTCTGCTTTCCTTCTTCCAATGAGTCTTTGGGAGGTCTCCCTATTTTAATACACACCCATATGGAAAAGAACCTTAAGCCTTCACCAGGAATGCCATCTGGGAGGGTTGCTTGGAATCATCCTCATCCCACCCACCGAACAAACCCAGCTTCTTGAGGAAAAGCTCTCCCACTGGCCCTGCCCAGGCCCCAGCGTCTATATGTTCACCGTTTCTTCCACAAATGTCGGAATCCAAAGAAGTATCCTCAAAACACAACAACAATGTTCTAGGATTTTGCCGACACATTGTACAATAATTATACAAGATATTTGGCAATCTTATGCCAGATATTCCTTTTACAATCTGGGGGGACAGATGTTGGCCATATGGGATCTCTTTAAGAAGGAATCTCTTGGCACCGTCCATGTTCCGATCCGGTGATGCACCAACCTGCCTCGACACCGCTCTCTGTTTCGGACTTGCCGGTGTTTCCGAGGCCGTGGCCCAGGACTTCTTGAAGCTGGGCGACAACCGTGCAAAGACCTCGCTTCGTGCGGAAGACAGGTGAGCTCTGCAACATACGTATGATTAAACATACGTATGAGCTCTCCATATGACAAGGCCTTTACTTAGTTCATCTTGGGAGGTTTCTTGCGGTGCTCAGGTGTGCTCTCTTCGGACTGGACGGAGCACCGTTTCCCCCGGGCCACGGATCGAAGACAGGACAAGTCGACGGCACGTGTGACGTGGATCAATGCAATTCAGGACACGGACCTGTCTGGGGCTGGCACCATTGACCTACGATTGACCCGTGTTGAAAAACCACCCCAACTGATCAGCAAACGGCAAAGATGCCAGTTCCATGGAGTGTCTGGGAACCTCTCTTCAAGCTGAAGAGAACAGGACATGGTTGAACTCATCATGCTGCGGCGGATGACCATGGCACCAACTCGGATGACGGAGTGTTCACTCGAGTCGATCAAACAGGTGGGTTTTCACTAACTCCACGTCACCATGATTCTCCACGTCACCATGATTCTTCTTTCAGGAAGGCTATATCCGTCGTATATCCGTTGTACCCAAAGAATCCGGGCCCTCGAATGGGATGGGTTTTGAGGAACCTCAGACCCCTGGCGTTTCGGTGGAGAAGGTCCGACCCTTGCGAAGGTGTCGGGCCCGTTCGGATTCTTAGGGTACAAAGAAAACGAACACTGCTCAACTCCAGCCGTGTCGATGAGACTGCCTTCATTCGGGGAGAACGAACACCCGGTTTGTTCAAGGGGACTCACATGGGAGTTTCGCGTGTTGAATGGAGCCATTCAGTCATTCAGCCACTGGATAACTACCGAACGATATGAGTCAGTTGGTGATCTGCTCATCCCAAGGCAAGGTTGACAGTTGAAAATATCTGAAACCAGCACCCAGGCCAGCTTTGGTGTTGCATACATGTTGGATCCCATGTCAACCCTTCCTATCTACTGGTCCAGCTTTGCAGGATGTCGACTCCATTTCTCCAGCGGGTCTTGGAGAGGCAATATGGTCACCCCATTGACATCAAGAATTCCTGGCAAAGCCATCGTCCTGGGATCTACATGGCAAGCTTGGAGAAGTTGGGGTGAAGGCTTTCTATCTTAGCACTGGACTTGGTCGTGCCTGCATGGCTTAGGAAACAGACCCCTCTACAAAGCTATAAAGGTCTGCACACGACACACGAGGCAAACATGTTTTGTTTGTAGAGTTTTGGAGTCTTGGAGGGAGGAAGGGAGGGAGGGAGGAAGGAAGAGAGAGAGAGAGAGGGAGAACGAAAGGAAAACAAAAACAAAAGAAAGTAAAACAATGATTGAATATGAACGACTTGACAGAAAGGCACCTACAAAAACGGTGGCCCCTTAGTTCCAAGCTAGGGAGGTACTGGGAGATGACGGCGAGCTCCTTTGATCCAAACCCGGGGGGGTGCTGGTCGACGTTGACCCCATGCCGGCGCCCAACACAGAGCGCCCCATCAACCGCACCGGAGGATGTGTTCCCCCGCCTTGACCGCCTCTTGCGGAGCCACTTCTTTCCTTGGAAGCGACAGATGGTGAAGGTGAAGAAGTGCGGCTGCCCCATAGCAGTGGCAGTTTCTGTATGTTTTATCGAGATGGGAGAGCAGAGAGATACCTGATACTCCAAGCAAAGTGCAACAGCAGAAACGGTGTCCTGATGTCAAAGCTGGGTGCCAGTTGGAGGAGAGATACCCCAAAAGGGAAGCCTTAGTGGGGAGGCTCGGGAGAGAGTGCCACTAACATGTTGGAACTCTTGGGAAACATGCGCTTTCCTGCGTTTTGCATTCATGTCCCACTTGGTTTAATTTTTCTTGAAGGGGGAGGCGAGCTTGGAGCCATAGCTGCACAGCCATGATAGCTTTTAACATCCTTTAACAGTTCTTGGTAGATTGTAAGTGCCTGAACATGAGGATGCATTTGTTGAGCACTTGGTCTCCAAGCACCTCCTCCTGCATCCAAGCATCACCTCCTCTGGCACCGCCTTAGGCAGCTCCTTAGGCGTCTGCTTTGGCAGCTCCTAAGGCACCAGATGCAACTGTGTGATGAACAGAATAGATCCCCACACTCAAAATTCATGTGCAGTACATACGGGGGTGGTAGACACTGAGATCTGCACGGTATATAAATGCAATGTGAACGTGAGACAAGCTGAAGCAAAGCTTCGACCTTGCGGAACGGGATTCGCTCCACAGGCACGAAGGAAGCCAAAAGCTGCTGCCCGGCTCTCAGAGAAATGGCTAAGCTCTATTCGTGCCCATGCGGCAAAGGTCGCATCTGACCGTCTGTCCATGTGATTTGCTAGGGCTGCCGGTCCCACGGTCCCGGAGAAATGGTGTCCTGGACTTCCAAGTGTGGAGGGCCATGGAGCAAAAACTGAAGCCCTTTAGAAGCGCGGCCAGCTGATGGATAGGAATTGGCACAGAAGCGCATCATCATAATCCATGGTGACCCGGCAACTATCAGCAACAGAAGTCACTGCAAGGTAGCCCTGCAAGGTAGCCCTGCCGCAGCACACAAGTCACTGCAAGGTGGCCCTGCAGCAGGGCGGCCGGAGGAACCATTGCCCACCGAGTCCCACAAAGCTCGGGACGAGTTTGCCGTTTCACCCGGTCGCCGCCCACAGGTCTCAGCAGGAGTGAACGAAGACCCAACTCATGTGAATCGAGTTTGGGAAACACCGTGCCAACGACTGGAGGTGACTTGAATACCGTGCCAATCGTGAAAGATGGCACTTCCTTCGACATAAAACGGGAGAAGAAAAGAGGACACTTCTTGTTCTTGCGAATGCCCTCAATGAATTGCAAGGAACTAAAATAGTTCCAAGACACTTTCAGACGAGAATCTCCTGAAAGCAGTAGCATTGGAAGATAAGGCCACGGGGCCAAAGCGATATTCTTCAAGTGTTTAACTGTAACTGACTGAAGAGATCCAAGCGCATTATGATATTTAAGTCAGGCTTCATGGTCACTTTCTGGAGGGAAAATGCAACTCTTTCCTTGCGCGCAATATCTCCCAGTGTACATGCAATGAATCCCTGAATGAAGGGAGCATCGCAAAGACCTGATCCTTTTGATCATCTCCAGGATCTCCCTTAGAATCCTTGCCTGAAGCACTTGTCTCTGCCTCTTTGTGGGGTCCAACTTTCGTGAAACTCCCCACCGAGCTGGCTTCTTCCAGCTTCTTCAGTGAATCCATGCACTCTTCGCGCAGATTCTCAACAAGGAGTGCTTGTCTCCATTCTCATCTCAAAAGAAGGGAGTATAATGGGAGTATCATGGAGTATCCTCAATTCTCAAGAGCACAACAAACGCGCTTGAAAGAAGAGTCTTCACCGTTGTCTGTGATGGATGGAATGGTCAGCCACAAATCGACTAAACTCATCCTCATCGATCGACTTTGTTAAGGGCTTGTTCGTTTCAGGAGCCTTCGATTTGATCGCATCAAACAATCATCCGTGTCCTGCCACACGCTTGTAAGACTGAAAGTCCTCCTTCACCGCATGAAGGCTTCCTTGATCAGCTTTTCGTGAAGACCATCACCAAAATTAGAGATGAGCACCCGCAAAATGCGTGGATACTTCACCTCAGATGAAGTAGTGGATTTGAGGGCAGAACTCTTCAAAGCTTCTGCATTCTCCTTCAAATCCTGCTTCAAGGTGGCGCGAGCGGAGCACCCATCAAACTGGTCGCTCCCCCAACCCTGTGGGGTGAGTCAGATGCTTGAGGCCATCGGGACGGCCATTGGGCCAGGTCAAAGGTGAGTGAAGTTCGTGAGTCGAAGGCCACCAACTGTTCACCGCCACTGCCAGGCCACTTGGAGGAGACTATCCTTCCCATTTTGTACAGTAGGAGCTCCGTCAACGAGCTTCTTGATGCAGCCGTTGGGGTAAGAGCTCTCCGAACTCTAAACTAGAGAAGTCGGACACCTACTGAAAAGAAAAACAGATCCTTCCTGAAAGGGCCTTGATTCTTCCACACATCCCACAAACTGCTTCGTTGATGTTCGTTGAAGTTTCGTTGAACTGCGGTTCTCACCAAGTCTCTGAAATTCACCCCTTCCCACTCATCTTCCTTCTCCTTCCCACCCTCTCGCCCCGCCAAAAGCATAGCGCCCCTCTCTCCTTGCGCGGAGGCGGACCCGATCTCGGCGCCGCCTTGGCCGGCAGCCCCGACTTCGCCTGCGGCGCCAGGCCCTTGGGCGGCGCCGAGGGCAGCCGCGGCGGCGAGCGCGAGGCGTTCGCGCGGTGCTTGGGCGGTGGCCCCTTGGGCTGCGGGGGTGGAAAGCGCGGCGGGGACGTGCGCACCGGAGAAGCCATACCTCGGCGAGGAACGAGGAAAGTTGGAGAGAGATAATAAGCACAAATGATGGGATTATATTGGATTGGTGACTACTGTAGGTTGGTTGAGGAGCTCTAAGTGCTTCTGAAGTGGAGAGTAGCTGCTTAGCAACTCTGGACCAACCGGGGCTCCGTGACGGAAAATGATGATAATTCAATCAGGGACACGTGCCGATTCTGCACAAAACGGGGGCCAAAGGCAATTTGTGGGTCATCACCGAGGCATAATCAGGCATAATTCACCAGGGCCCCCCTGTTTGGGGGTGTCTAATGAATTCTAATGGTAGCTCCTTAGAGGCTAAAGGGGTGTCCATGAACCACCCCAAACCCAGGGCCCTGGTTGATCATGAGAAACTAGCAAAGAGAGTTCAAGTGAGAAGTGGTCCTCCAACCACTGGATGATGACCTCATGAGAGTGGTTCGAAGATAGCATCCTTTATTCGTTGATTCCTTTGCCTCACGGACAAAAATTCTTTGCTTACTGGCGCTGACTGACCAGGACTTCATAATGTAAGACTCTTGGTTAATAAGCCCTCCTATTTGAATTGGACATGCTCTTAAGTATGGGGGGTCTATTAATCATATCCCTCATAAAAATTGGGGTCCGTAGCGGCCTATGTAAATACTCAGTCTATTCCCCAAACCCCTCCATATGAGGGCTCCGACCCCTCCCGTCGCGTCTGGGTCCTTCGTCCATCACGTCGCCCAGTCGTCCCGCCCTGTCGTCGCCCAGCGGCGTGGAGGGGGACTCTTCGGTGGCACTGGACTGGACTCCTGCGGCCCGGACCCGGAGCGAACGGGAGAACTGGACTCCCCGCCGGGACTGGGACGAAAGGGCAAGAAGCCAGCCGAGGTGGAATAGTGGGGGGGGAAGCGTGGGGTTCTGGTGACACAGCAGGGAGGAAAAGAACACACCAGAAAACACCGTTAACTTAAAAAGAACACCAGATCGGCTGTTCAGTTGGGGTGATGTTCAGAATTTTGTTTGAAGGGTCAATGACAAAGACATTCCATACTTGGATGATCTGAGAGATGGAAAAACAAGGTGTTTCCTGGCGTCTGGCAAGTTTTCGAGATTCGTTGATATATTTGATACCATTTGATCGGGGGCAATCTATTTCGATAAAGGGAGATCGCAGGAGTCCAAGCCCCTCTGGGAAGGTTTGAATATAAATAATAACTTGTCTCAAACAAGCATATCAAAAAGGTGAACAAGGATCTCTTAAACGGTCTACTCCATTTTCTATGGCTTGGGCCATCTCTTCTCAGAACGTGCTTGGGGTGGTGGTTTTGGGAGATTCCCCCCCAAACACGAACTCGCACTTCGCCGTTCGTTCGTGGGCGAGTTCGCTCTCGCTTCGAGTCCGAACGAGTCCGCGAGTCCGCTTTCGTCCGCTGATGTTCTCAGCGGTCAACGTGCGCACGGATGGTCACACTGACAATGTATATTGGATCTAACTATCCTATTAGCTGTAACCGTGGATGATAATGGTTCAGTTGGCCTTGTTCAAATAATAGGTATATTTGTTTACTGACTCTTCCAGGTAATAGGACAACCCCAAAATATATACACTTGACAAAGCCAAATGACCGAGAAGGACCAAGAAGGTACAAAAATCGTCTCCAAATTTGCTTGAGCGGGCACTTCTGACTCCAAGCATCAGTGAAACCCTCAAAACTTTCACCTGAGGTGGTCCATGATTCTGAGGTTCCTTTTCGGACGACAAGTTTAACCGGGTTTGCTCGTCGCCAAATGAAAGATCACCAACTTCAATCGGTTCCTTCTTATCACCTACTTTGAGCATTCTCCAAAAGCTACTTCCTGGCTTGTACTAAAGGACTGATCAACTTTTTGGTTGACCTTATAAAAATACCACGAATATTGGCGTACAGATTAGTTGCCATAAAGCCACATGTTTCCATATGCTATCTGATTCTGATCGTGATTGACAAAAAGACATGCTCTAACCCTCTCCTCCTCTTCCGCCTCTTCAGCGGCTTCCTCGCCCTCAGCCGCCTCGCCCTCCACGGCGTCCTCGCCCTCCTCCGCCTTGTCCTGCTGCCGCGATTCGTGGAAGAGTTCACGCGAGGAAAACTCAAACCAGTGGGTGGTTTCAACTCACTTCGTAAATAGATAACCCATGATAACCCTATAAGCATCATTGGACCCGACCACTTCTGGAGGGCATTGACCCTGCAGAACGCAGGGGATTGGACCCTCAAAACCTTCACCTTTGAGGGTTCTTGATTCTCAGGGGAGTCAGTGGGTGTCTGCTCATCCCAAGTCTAAAGCCATTGGTTTTTGATGGACACCGATCTGAAAGCAAACATGTGGCGAAGACGAATCGTGCGGAGATTTGGGGAAGCCAGTGAAACAACATCTGCTCCGTGCCAAAAAATACTCGGCGTCTTTGGGGTTCTGCCAAACATGTGAAGGCGCTGCCAGAGCTGGGCTGGCAGAAGCAATCAAACGTCTGACAATGATCGAAGCAGGACTGATGGTGAGCTCCACTTCGGCTTCGATCCTCACAGAATTCGATCAAACAGTCATGTCATGTCGATTCATGTTGATTCATCGATTTGGGAGGATTTGGGGATTGTAAAACCTCTTACAGAATGGAATCGTTTCATTCAGAATGATCCCTATGATTCATCAAAAGATCCACTTCCATTCTCATTGGAGGGCTACCAAAAAAGGATCAAAAAGGTCTCTCTGATCTCCTGACCGGACCGGCGGCCGATGGCTCGGCCTTCCGTTCGCTTCGGCCGTCTCGGCGCCGCCGGCGCCTCCGGGTGATCCGAGGAGAAGAGAGTCAACGGAGCAGGTGCCTCCGGGCGTGGACGCGGCGCACGGACGAAAGGCACCGGTTTTGAGGGTTCAGCCTCAGAGCGAGTGAAAGGCCAGGAAATATGGCACCCGGGGATCTCTCTCCTGGTTGACGTAGCCTGCGTTTCCAGACCTTCTATTCAGCAAATCAAACAGCGCTTTAGCATCTGACGTAGACTTCCTAGACTTCCTGATCTTCCTGGTTAATAGGGAGCCTCCCAGGCAACGACCCTGGAAGCTTAAGGAGAAATCGATCCGTCTACCCAGCGATGGACGTGAAACGGGGGGTTCACACAGGCCAGGCCATGGCTCCATGGGTCATGGCATCGGGGGACCCTGAGAATGGACGACCCGACTAGTCGCTCCACCTGGCGATCGGTGATCTCACCGGGCTCCGGGTCTTTGCATGACAGGTGGAGCGACCCAGGGAGAAACCGGCTCCGGCTGCCACGTCACCAGCGGAAGCCCCGGTCACCACAGCACGGTCACGACGGGGGCGGGGTCGGTCGGACGAGCGACGCGGGCGGGGGCGGGCTCGGTGGGTGTTGGGCTCGGTGTGTGCATGCGGTCAGCACGAGCTGTCGACTTGACTCAATCTGCCCTTGTTTGGAAGACCCGGGGGGTGATTGAGTCCTATACGGTATGGCTATATGATGCTATATGCATGGCTATATGCCCTATATATAGTCTTTAAGCAAAAGACTGACCATGGTTGACCATGTCTTGAAGTCCTTTAGTACAACAAGGGTTGTTTGGTCAGAACCCTTCAAACCCTACACCTCCAGTCGTACCTCCTGAGGTTCGGTATGACTGGACCCTCCTGGCACCCACCCCCCAACACATCCAAACACCTTCTCAGAAGGTATAACTGGAGGCCAAACGGGCCTAAGGATTCCCTCTGATTCTGGGAATCCCCGACCAAAAGGCCTCCACTGGGTGCACTGATCCTCCTCCGGTCTCTAGTCTCTAAAGATCTGCCGCTCGCCCTGATCGGTATGTCAAACCCCAACCCTCCGGGTCAAGTGACTGGGTTTGCAAGTCTGAAGCCATGGAACTAGTCCAATCTATGGGACTGGAAGAATGGCTGATAGTTGGGACAATTATAAGATGCATTTGTCAATTGAACGATCAATACGTATGGATAGTCTGGCCAGGGTTGTAACATGTTGTAACCACTTTACACAAAAGCCCTTTTTTCCACATCTGCCCACCACCGACCTCTTGTTCACCAGGTTCCCAACAAAATTCTTGAAAAGGCTCCCAGGAAAAAAAAAGAAAACAAGAGCCTTAAACCTACTGGACCTGTGGCAGAATAAAGATAGTAAAGAAGGCCCTCATTTTCGGAACGGGAACCTGACTTGCAAGGAAGTGTTCCATCTATCCCAACATGATCGAACCGAACAAACTCCACTTAGTTCTTGCTTAAGCAGGGACTCTCACCCAATCCATCGCCTTCCCTTGAAAGGTACCTTTTTCCTGTAAGAACATCATCAAATGAGCATCAATGAACCATAATGATCCGTTCTCCACGGACTTCCTGGCTGCGAAAACAGGAATGGGGGGTGGATTCCAACCGCCTTCATCGCGAAGCTAAGCGGTCCCCCGCCTCTTTCTTCGGTTCGTCCTGCTCGTCGGTGGGCTCGCCACAGCGGAAGCACTCGCGTTGATGCATGCTGTTGAGGCCACCTCGGACTGTTGACGCGTGGCACACGCGGTTAGTAAGAGAAGACCACAAGAAGACCTAGGGTCGGCAGGAGACCCCAAAAAACACGGCGGTTCATGCGTCCATGTCGGTCTTCAGTACCTCACTGGATCATGTATAGCCATATATCTCTATACCAGGACCCTCCAACAGGCTTTTTGGAGACCCTAACAGGTGGTTTCTGGGCACCTGTTGTATATATATATATATATATTATATATCTGTATGGTACCGATCGATCTCTCTCATTCTGACTTCGATCATCGCTTCGATCCTCTCACTTCGGTCACGCCACGACACCGGGTGGAGCCGGCCGTTTTGGACGGTTCGAACGCTTCGTGTGGTGTAGACCCTGGATACCCCTGGGGTTCCGGGTTTGGGGTGGTTCATGGATACCCCGAATCACCTCTAAGGAGCTATAATTAGACACCCCTTAGGGGGCCCGGTATATATACAAGCAAATTCTAGAATCTATAGAAGCAGTGACTCCAAGTAAACCAACAAACATACCATCTGGGATGCCTACAAACGGGCATTGATGTTGATGTCTTCCACCAGTGACTACGGGCTCAAATAGGAACCGCAACTAAGCACTGCAAGAGGGTGCAAAATACTTTGTACCAACAGCCATCAACTTAATTGAGACTCCATGACTATATGCTAGTTAGTTCGGAAAGTTAGCAACCCGTCTTGTATGTATAGCTCCAAAAGTCCAGCCGCTGCAAAGTGTGCAGATCCAATCGCCCTCATTCCTGGCGAAGCGTGGAGTAAGTTGAGAGAAGCGTGGAGTAAGTTGAGAGAAGCGTGGAGTAAGTTGAGAGATCGGTGTGACTCACACACTGTCCAAAAACATAGTGAATAATATAGTGCCCCCTCAGAAAACGACTTTCCTTACCCAGATGACATGGAAAAGGCCTTTGCATGATTACACCTGGGACGATTCACCGTTCCACCTGATGGCAACCGACGAGCTGCTTCCGGGCAGACGCACGATCTCGCTTCCTCGGACCAGTGACCTGGTTTTTGGAGCACCCGGTGCGATCGGAGCCACGACCCGGTGTCCACGGTGTCAACGACTCACCTCTCTCCGTCGACGGAGATCCTCTCGTTTGGACTGCTTCCGCTTCGGGTCAGGTGCGGACCAATCCACGTCGGGACGATCACGGCGTTCTTCCGTCGGGAGGGGGTGACCAACGGTTTCGCCGGTTTCGGGGGTTTCACGGTGGGATGGGACTGCGGGGGGGTGTGGTGAAAATGGGCTGTTTCCGTCTGTTCGGCGCGGCGCGGTTCAAGTGCATCGTCCTTGGACCGGTGGACGGTCCTGGGTTTCTCAGCTTTGCATTTGAAGCACTTCCGACGGAAGGCGAAGTTCAAGGCTTTGCCTTGGCGGCGTTGAAACAGCGAGAACAAACGGTTCCAAACGAGGAAGCAAAGGAGTTCGGAAGCTGGGGTTCCGTTGGATGCAGTTCTCATTCAGTGTTGATTCCGTTTGGATAGGCGGAGTCCTCATGTTCCTCTTAAGCTCCTTGTCTGCAGAATAGGTTTAAAATGGTGTAAAGGTGGCCACAAGTCCTACCAAATCAGGAGTGACAAGCTCACTTCCCTCTATAGCACCACCTGCTTTGTTGAAAGGAAAACTATATAGGTGCTCCGTCGGCCAGTTCGGCCTCAAACTTCGGCCTTTTCAATCCACCAAGTTGCACAAGGAGCAATTCCACTCACCCTGGCCCGAGTGACAAGCGGAGCGCGTTTCGAGCAGCTTGGTGGGCGGTTTTTCGAAAGGCTTCAGATGGCTTCAGGTACCAGCTCAGCTTGGTGAAGTTTCTTGGAGCTGATGATAAACAACTTGTTCTCCAAAAGAACTGCCAGGAAAAAGATACTGCATGAACCACATGAACACCGTGCCGGACCATGCAGCATTGTTGTGTACAGGCATTTCTTTCTTTTTGGGGGGGGGCTGAGTCGAGTGCTGGCAGGCGGGCGTTTCGCGAATACTGGAGCTAGGCTTCATAGAGTGAAGATCCATCTTCTTCTGATCCAAATGACAGCCTTCCACTCAACATTGCCTGTGGATCCACATACCTTCTGACATATGGTGATTGGAGACTATTTATATAGGCGCCAGGAGGGCGGGCCCAGTCGTACCGAACCTGAGAAGGTGGATCCAAGAATCCCGAACGGGATTACTGTCTGGAAACCCAATCCCAAGCGCTCAGTTCCATGCAACACATGGATGTCCAGCTCCTCTAGGAACGGGAGAAGAAATAGAAACATCTTCCCCATGCCAGGAGATTTACATGATTTACCCAATCCTGGACATATATAGACATCACCTGATCCCCCCAAAACAAGGACGACGCATGATGCGAACCCTTTTCCATGGCCTTTTCGTGCCTTTTCACCGTTCTTTTTTAGGGATCCAGTCGTACCTTCTCAGGTTCGATACGACTGGACCCTCGCACCTACAGTGTCGAACACATCACCGTACCTGACCAAGTAATTACTTGGACCCCTAGGGTCTGTCGGTTTCTTCTCCCCCGAAGCTTCAGTGCTTTGTCACTCCCAGTTGGATGGCACCGATCTGCAGCTCTTGGAGGCTTGGCAACTCCGCGAGGCCCAAGCAACGTTCGTGCCACTGTAGCAGTCTGGGTCCCGACAAGGACAAGGCATTTTTGAGGGTCAAGCTTTGGAGGTGAGGCAAAGTCAGGTTTTCCAAACTCTGGTTGAAAAAGTGGCCCAAGCTCAAGCTCTCAAGGTTGCCCAAGTCAAGGTGCTCCAGGGTCTGATCGAAACGGCCGCCCAGGTCGAGTTTCTGAAGTGGAGGCAAAACTACTCTCTCGAGACTTTGATTGAACCACCAACCAAAGGTCAGGCTCCTCAAGCTCTTGGGCAAATCAACTCCTTCCAAGCTCTGGTCGAATAATCCACCCAACTCAAGACTCTGAAGGGTGCCAGGCAAAACCACCTTCTCCAAGCTCTGGTTGTAGTAAGAGCCGAAGGTAAGATGAAGTAGGCTCTGGGGCAAAATGACTCGCTGGAGGCTCTGGTTGAAGGAAGCGCCGAAGATCAAACTCTCCAATCTGCTGGGCAAGTGAACGTTCTCCAAACTCTGATTGAAGGAGTAGCCAAACATCAACTTCTGGAGAGAGTTGGGGAAAGTGGCTCGCTCGAGAGTCTGATTGAACTGGCCCCCAAAAGATAACATCTGCAAGCTTCTGGGGAGGATCAGCCCCTCTAAAGTCTGATTGAAACTGTTCCCAAAAACCAAGCTCTGAAGGCTTTCGGGCAAAATGGTTCCCTGCAACATCTGATTGAAGCTGCTTCCGAATGTCAGATTGGTCAGGTTGCCTGGCAAAGCCACTTGCTCCAGACTCCTGTTGAACTTTTGGCTAAAACGAATGCTTTGAAGGCTACTCGGAAAGGCAACTCCTTTCAAACTCTGCTTGAAGTTGTCCACAAATTGCAACTGTCGCAAGCTGGTACTGGCAAATGCGCTCTTACATACATGCTTTGGTCCACTTCGCCATGTAAGATGCTCCAGGCTGCGGGGAAGCGAACCGGCTTCCAGACTTTGGTCAAAACGTCTGCCAAGAAAAAGGCTCCGGAGGCCAGTGGGCAAAGCCACCCTCTCCAAACTCTGATTGAAGCAACAGCCAAATCTCAGGCTCTGAAGGCTTCTGGGCAAATCAACTTGGTCCAAAGTCTGATTGAACTCGTGGCCAAAGGAGAGATTTGTCAAGTTACTTGGAAAGTTCACTCCCTGTAGATGCTGGTTAAATGAGTACCCAAACCTGAGGAATTGCAAACTCTCAGGAAAGGTGATTCCTTTGACACTTTGGTCGAACGAAAAGCCAAATGACAGATTCTGGAGAGTGCTAGGAAACACAACTCCTTCCAGACTCTGATTGAAAGCCTTACCAAAGCTTAGATACTCGAGGCAGCTGGGAAAGGTCACATGCGCCAAACTTTGGTTAAAGTGTGTGCCAAGACTTAGTTGTTGAAGGTTTCTGGGCCAATCTGTCTGCTCCAACGACTGGTTGAAATGCTTTCCAAAAGTCAAACACTGGAGGCTGTCAGGCAAAGTGGTAAAGGCCAAACTCTGCTGGCATGCTCCCTTGAACTTCAAACGTTGCAGCTGGTTAGGCCAGGTCAGGTTGCTGGGTAAAGCAATTCCACTGTGGTAGTAGCTCGGGCGAAAGGCGAGACTCTGCAAGCGACTCTTGTGAATGGCTCTTAGCTGTTCCACCGAAGAGATCCCAGAGACGTAGGTGATTCCCTCCCACGCCTTGGGGTCCTAACGCGATCAACGGCGTGTTGTGAACTCATCGGCCCGAGCGAACGAAGAATCAAACACTAAGAACTCAGCAGGATGACTTGTGCGGATCATCTGGGAAACGTGAATGACTGGTGACCAAAAAGAGGTGGAGAACCGTGCAGGTGAATCAAGTACAGGTAAGCACACAAAAACAACCTTTGGGTGTCCGGACACTCATGTGTGCCTCTGACGACGTTTTTGTTCGAGCGATGCACGAAGGCAAAGCACTCCCGTCCAACGTCCTGGAGGTCAGCATCGCTGTGTAAAGATCTCCACGCTTCACGCAAGTTGCTGGCTTCATAGATGTAGCTCACAGAGCTCGTTCCAGATGTCAGGCCTTGTTCTTTCAGAGTCTTGTCTGGCATCAGTGCCACCTTAGCTTCACCCGAACCCCACAGATCGAGTTAGATGTCTCTCCTCAAATCCCCAGACACGACCTGTCTGGGACTGCCATAGGACTGCCGATCAGGCCAGGGATGGTGCCAGGAAGGTCAATTGATCGGCATATGTTGGGTCTATCCTAACACCTGTAACAGTGGATGATGATGGTTAGTAAAGGCCTTCTTCAAAAATAGATAAACACAGTAATAATTGTTTACTGACAGACCCAACATATATATATATATTTATATGGCAGTCCCGCTGGAGTGTGGTCGTGTCTGGGATCTGATCTCATACCAACCTTCTCGAAATCACACCCAGTGGATAAGGAAAAAGATACATGGCAATATTGAGCCCTAGGGATCCAGTCGTACCAAACCTCGGAAGGTGGGACTGGGGTGGTTGAGAGGAGCAAGAAGGTGGTTGAGTGGTGGTCGTTTTTGCTTCCGGGCAACTCCCTGGATCCGGACCGAAACATCCATCCTATCGAGAATCACCGGTCCCCGCTACCCAAACCAGTGCCCACCGGGCAAGGCTCTCTGGGACGAGAAGCCACGTTGGTCGCTCCACCGAGATGCCATACTACCCGAGATGCCACCGTCAGTTCCGTCGAAGGGTTTAGACCCGTTTGGACTGAGGACTTGGGTGTTTTGGTTCACCCTCACCATCTTCGCCCCTTTGAGGGTCCATGATTCTGGACGTATAACCCAGGGCATTGAGGCAAACCACTTTATAGCTCGTAACCAGTGGTTCCAAAGACTAAACCCATAGACCGAACGAATCCCTGGTTCCTTGTTTGCCTGGGATCCACTGGGTCAGGTGAATCAGTGGAAGCATGTATGGCGAGCTGGCCTCCATGAGCGAGCGCCATCCACCATCCGGTCGCCTATGGAACGGTCTTCTTTTTGGAATAGACCGAGATCTTCCTCTCAAGATCTTCCCTTCTGATTTCTTTAGGAGAGTGGCGACGGTGAAGAATGCCAATTCACTCATGTACCATGTATACTCCATGTTCATAGGTTGCTCATGCTGACATCTTCACATTCTCTTACAGTAATTAGTAAATGGTCATAAATCAGCTGCTTCCAAGGGGTCACCAACGGACAACCCTACACCACTAGGATCCTACTAGCCTCTGATGGGCACCCATTGGAAGCGCTAGGAAGAGTCTTCCATCAACATTCGGGCACCGAACACTGTGGTTGGACACCTGCCACTGTGTCCTTTCCATCAAGGACTCACCATCTCCCTTGGGATCTCCTTTGCGGGTCTTTGCGAGCCGTTTTCTGTGGAAAAGAAAGGTCACCCGAGCTTTCCACCTGTCCATTTTGAGGTGGGATGGCATACCAATCCCTGGCTGATCAAAAGGCTTTCGTAGCTAATTTCCATTCACTGAGAGTTGGTGATGTATCTCCAGGACACTGATCCGATCTGCACTGCCACTCGTGCACCAGCCTTCGGTGGAAGGCGGTCGCTGATGATCTGTCGCAGTTTGCAACCCAGTGCCGAGCTGGAGGTACGAACTGTAAAGGCTTCCCCGTCCTAGAGCGAAACGAAGCGGATGAAGCGCTCTACGGAGTTCGAACTCGGTACCACTCCTACCACACCTGACATGGAAGTTGTTTGTGAAAAGCTGTGTGGGAGGAATCATCATGATGTTATTTTGTGTGAAGAACGATCATCATGAGATGATAGGTTCATGCTTTATGATGTGTGATCACTGCTCCCAAATCTACTCACTAAATATAGTCATCCTGGAGTCAATAGAACATGGGAAAATCCGAAAAGACACCATAGGAAGCTGGGCATGCGTTCGGATTGGTTCATATTCTATCTACTCCAGGACCCAAGGGATCCAAGTACCTTCTCAGAAGGTACTTGGACCCTCCAAACCTACATAACAGTGTCTCCAATCACCGTACCTGAGAAGGTACGACTGGATCCCTAGGGGGATGATAGTTTGATCTCTATGGAGCCAAAAAGGTCTTTCTCAAGCAAAGCTGAGGTCTCCAAACCCACCACCTGAATCTCCAGCTCCTCCATCGAGCTCGCCATGGCGGCGAGGAGGGCGATGGCTTCGCCGACCCCGGTGATGGCGAGGTCCCGTGCTCCAGTTTCTTTGAAGTGAAACCATGGTGAAACCCAGCAGTTTTGGAGGTGAAACTCGAGGTCGAGCTCTGAAAAATGCAAGGTACATTCCATTAGACCCTTCATGACCCTTCATTATTGGACCAGGTCCTGTCCTCTTACCTTATACCCCGACATCATGTGGAGAACAGGGGAAATCAATCTCAAACTCTTCAAGTCGAACACCATGGAACCCTTGCTGTCGACCTGGAAACTCCTGCTCTCCATGGTGCAGAATCCACCTGCTTGGAACCAAAAAAACGCTGCAGGCACTGCGGCCGGGTCATGCCAACGCTTCAGGACCAGTCGTCCCCAAAGCCGCCTGAACAGTACTGAGATGCAACTATTGAAGTACCGCATAGTACCACAACCATCCGACTATGTCACTATCTCCATCTTCTCCCCCCCACTATCTCCAGCGCCTAATCCCTAACCGCTCTGCAACTCAACACACGGTGAAAGTAACCACCATGAGAAGCATCAGCATCACCCAACAAAAAACCTCCCCAGCACGATGCTTTCCTCCTCCTTGTTCTTCTCCTTCTCCTTCTTCTTCTTCTTCTTTTGCTTCTTCTTCTTCTTCATGCCTTTTGTCTCCCTAAACGACCGGATTCCAACCCCTCTTGCAGGATCCACCATGCTTCCACATCAGTAAGCTGCCCAATTCCTTGCGTCCACTCCTCCGTCCATCGACTTCGCCCTGTCCCACGACGTCGCCCGCGCCTCGTCACGGTCACGCTCGGACCACGTATGGGAGCCTTGGATTTCCCCAGCAAGCTGGGAACAAAAGACATTCCTGTGCCAGGGGGAAAACCCAAACACTCCATGTAACATTGAGGTGGTTGAAAGGGGTCAATGTATGTATCTATGCCAGTCGCATGGAGTGTCTGGGATGTTCGGAAAATGATCAAACATCTATTTTTTCACCATGGATTCACGGGACACTCCCACCTGCCGCTCACCCGAGCCCCTCCGCTCCGCCGTCCCTCCGCGGAGCCGCTCCGCCGAGCCGCTCCGCCGCTGCTTCTTCGAGGGCGGCTCGGCGGGCTCCGGCGGCTCCTCTCCGCGGCCCTGCGGCGAGGGGACCGGTCTGACCGGGGGTGCCGGTGGTGGAGCACAGGTCCTCCTTCGGCAGGGGTGCTGGTGGTGTGCCACTGGCGTGTTGAGGGGGGATCTTCCGAAGTCGAATCGGAAGAGACAGACTGTATGAAGGTATGTTAGTTAGGACCGAGACACCATCATTCACCTATACCTCAAGCACCTTCTCTGGTCAGCCAGGAGGAGTGGCCTTCAAGCCAGCAGGACGGAGATATACAATAGAGTGCATGGGGTGTGCCAGGGCCAGACCGGCTAGGGATGGAGGACATCCGCAACACACTCCGCAACACCCCAGCAGCTCCTGGCCTGACATTCTGGAGGGTGGCAAAGGTCAAGAAAGTGCAACTAGTTGTTGGGGAAGTACTGAATGAGTCTTCACATGGTGTTGACGATTTGCGACCAACTGGTTCGATCATGATGTGTTGATATTTGAGTAAGCCCAGTGGATAAAGTGGTTTCCACGTTTGAGATCGGTCATGAGTGTCAAATTGAGTTTCTCCGAATGGCGGCTACACCAAATGACCATCCGTTTCGCCATGGCCCTCTGGTGCCATGAAACCAAATAGTCGGGGTCGAAAGTCATTCAAACGCCAATGAAAATGTCTAGTGCTTGATGTTGAAAGTGAAAGTAACCCCCTAAGCAGTTGTGAGCAACCACCTAGTAGTTTCTCCAGCTAGTGACGTGAATGTCTTCCGTCGGGTACTGGAAATTCTGAGGAAAAATTGATGCACCCCCCCACTTGACCTAGCTACAAACCCACTTGACATGTGTTTTGCTTGGAAAAGGCCGCATATTGAATCGTTGGTAGTCCAACAATGGAGCTCACTCAGCTTCTAAGGTGCTAGGGTTCAGGCACACTTTTCCGCAAGCTGGTGTAGTGTAGGCGTTCACAAGCCACAATTGCGGCAAGTGAAGTGCTTCACCCTATGATTCTGAAGAATACGATCAAAAAGCTCATGGACCGTGTTCCATCCGGAAAATCCCGGCACTGAAATGAAGATCAAAGGATCTTCAAGCGGATCTTCTACCAGACTCCCTGGGAGGGAAACCCTGAAAGAATATTGCATCCATCTGATCTGAAACATGATCCCTGGGCTGCAAATGCGAGCATCTGGTACAGGCTGAGATCTATATGTATCATTAATACGTTAAAACGATCAAACACCGCCCACCACACACCAACACAACGCGCAGATCGGACCTAAATGTTGGGATCAGACTCAGATCCCCAACCAGAGCCGAGTGTGTTTGCTTCACCCTGCCCGCCTGAGGTGTGTCTGCCTCGCCTTTCCAAGCCTCCGCATCCTGGCGGATCGGAAATTCCGCCACGCGGAGCGGAGCGGAGCGGAGCTTCGTGTCGGTGGATCGAGGGAGCCACGAGTCCGTCCGGTGGCGATTGGGAGGAAGAACGAGGGAAGCAAAGCCCAGGACTCTGAGTTCGTCGAAGAACTGCTCTGATCTATATATGAGTAGGTGAAAAACCTCAAACCTTGGGTGGTGCCAAACATCGTCGAGCTATCTGGACTTCTAGGGAGAGTTCAAATTCAGCTCTACCTGAACCACAGAGGTCTCACCGGGCCTCCCAGGCCCGTTGTGGCTGGCAAAGTCTCATTGGACCACCCCATTGACTCTGAAATCAACCACCCAAACTGATCGGTAAGTCTCATGCTCTGGGTCTGGTTATGTTGTTGCCCAAATCGGAGCGCGTTGCACGGAGGATTTCACAGTGGTGAGAAAGAAAACAGCTACAGTATATCTGCTTTCAAGCCCAAGGAATTGACACTCCTCACCAACTGGGCAGCCACCCTGCGCCTCCATCTCAATCAAACACATCAATGGGAATGAGGCTTATTAATTGAACAAGGTTCATGGGCCCCGGCAGGGCTTACATCAAGCAATGACCGTGTTTGACCTCCTACACCCACACCGCCGAAATCCACAAAAAAAAAAGAACTCCAAGTTCATGAATCTGGTTGGAGCCTCACCAAAGATAACCAACCAAACATAAACAGCACGGATTCGACCTAGACCACTTACACAAACGGAGAAAATCGTCACGTCGTTCATTTGGCCGCCTCTGGAATATCTTTCTCATCCTTCCACTTGTCAGGATCCTCATCAAGGTCAAGACTTCCGGAGCTTGGGGCATCCATGTTGATCCTGTTCCCAGGGTCGTAAGTGAAGGTGTATCATGTGTAGATCCGGGCCCCACCAGGGCCGTACTCCGATCTCATGATTCTACTTGAAAACTCTTGGGTGGAGGTGACAGCCGAAGTGTGCTGAGCTTATATGGTTCAAACAAAAATGGTCAGCGAGGTTCCGAAGACCTGCTCAAGCGTGCAGCGTAAGGCCCTATTTTGTCATGCCTGTACCACATTGTCATTATTGCCTGAGTGATATATGAGTAACGGACCACGTGATCGAGGTAATACCATCGGCCATGAGAAAACGGGATTGGCCCATATATGCTTGTGATAGTTGACCCCTCTTGGAATTTCACCATGTTTCAGAATGTGTCATATGAAAGCTTCATGCACACTGTTGAGAACTCAAACCTGTCCTTCTTGGGCCAACTGCGAAATCCTCCAGGACCCATGGGTGCTTCGCGCTCGTCCCAACACCCCCCCGGCGGGGGAATAACGTGTTGCTGAGCCCCCCCGGCTGGGCTGGTAGGTCTAGCCAGGTGCGCCTGAGAGCCGAGACGGAGAGGAGCCGTAGAAGAGGAGCAAATGGGCACTGCACGGCATGCAATTCGATGGTCAGTCCATGTCGTTTCATGAAAGGTGGTGCCTGAAGCTGGAAGATGGGCGATCAGGCTTTTTGGAGGGACGCAACACATGGAAACCAACGGTCTGAATCCCTTCTGTTACGAGTGTTTAGACTACAAAACCAGGTCTTTCCCATTCTCTTAATGGTCGAGCTGAAGGCTTCACGGGTTTTTGTATTCCAAGAGAGCCTTGAGGTCAAGTCTTGCAAAAGAAGGATCAAGTCTGATGGCATCTTCATGGGGATCCTCATTCACCTCGACATTCGGTCAGTCTTGTTGTTCCCAAAAGTCCGTGGCCTACGGAGGACAGACCTATACTACTATACCTTAGAAGTCTAACCACCATGCATTAAATTATGTAATATTATATACATATTTATAGCCTGAATCCCGGACCACCGGCTGTTAAGGGTTTTTCACCAAAAGAGTCAAGACTGGACTTCCAGGGTCAACGTATCTCGTGAAGGCTAAAAGCTCCTCGGTGCGTGGAAGCCTTTTGGGCTTTTCTGGTTGAATGGTTTTCCCAAAAACTGGGCACTCTGCGACACTCTGGTCGAAGCACCCCTTTGAAATCCTTTGGAACTCCTGGATTGTCCACATCAGTTCTCATCGGAACTCTTCAAACGGTCAACCGGGGGCTTTATATAGAGTGCTTTTCCCATGCGCATCATGGGTCTGCTGAGCCGGTAGAGCCTAAAAAGCAACCCAAAAAGGTCCAAGTCCAACGTGCGAAAACGGCCCGGGAGTTCGGAGGCCTCATCGTCTTCTCTCCAATCGCTTGCACCACTCTTCTCATCCTGACCGCAAGAGATGGCATACCAGTGCCACTCACTCTTGCCTTGTAACAGGCGTTTAACCGTTTAACCCCATACAAGACTACGATCTGTTCAGTGGCAAAGGGCAGAATAGTATGGGGAGTGTTGAAAATACAAACAAAATTGTTGGATTGCAGGGGCATCCCGGCGAGTTGTGTTTTGTGTCTCTTCATTTTGAGAATGTCATGAAGCTTTCACGGGGCACTTTGCACACCAGCATTTTCCCAGCTGCAATGCCCTGGATTGCATCAGGGCTTTGTCACTGGCGGTTGATGCTAAGCATTACTGGTTGTCTTGGATTTGTCAAAAAGTTGGTATAGGGACAGCAGGACAACCATGGTAATCCTTCATGTTTCTCTAACTGGTTCTCTTGAGTAACTTTTGTGATAAATACACTCCCGTACACTCCCACTCACTAACATAGAAGTGGAACACCCCCTGTTAGTAGAGCAAAAATGGTCTGTCCAGGGCCTATGCCATCCACGTAACCATGTGATGTGTTCCTCAGAGCTGTAAAGACTCTTGCTATCCCTACAGTCCCTACAGCTTCCTTGGCGCCTCCGCATGGTTCACCAGCTTCTCTGACCATCCCATCTACATAGACAGCGCAGGCCGGCGGGCAGCGGACCACGTCCAGTGTCCGAAACGGGAAGAGGCGGGGTTGTCGGACGTCGGTGCTGTCCAACCAGCAGCGAGTGTTGCTCAACTCCCCCAAAAAACCACAGGTTACACCATGTGTGCATTCAACTGCCGCCTTGTGTAGGGATCATAGGCTCACAATAGTATACATCACAATTTGGTTCACAGTTCCAAGTTCATATCTAGTGCATCACGATGTGAACTCTTGAACCTGCCAGCCCGCACCGAACCAGACCAACCGCCGGCCGTCCAACCGCCCACCACCGAAACCGCCCGTCCCACGATCTCGGCCGTTTTTGGCGTTGGTCTTCGATCTCCCATTGTCCCGATCCAACCGAGCGTGGCGCCCGGTTCGGCATGGCCGGTTCGGCGTGGTTCTCCGTTCGGCGTGGCCGGCCTCGTTCTCCACGGTGTCCCGTTCTCTCTGCCATGCATTCTCCTCATCCTGGAGGAAAGCGAACAGCTGCGAGACGTGAGGGCGCAAAGCCGCCGCGTCCCGGACGGGGGCGAAAACGAAGCAGGACCGTCTACACAGGACTGTCTACAAGGCACCACTCAGGACATGGGTGGTGATTGGATAGAAAGGGTATACCATATATAGGTCAAGGCACCACTCAGTTTGGGTGGTGATTGGATGGAAAGTACCATATATAGGTCTACAAAGTACCAACTTGTTCAGGACATGAGATGCCTTGACATACCATACCCCCCATCCCGAGACTCCATCCCCGGTCGGTCTGAAGTGCGTTTGTTGGTTCCTTCTTGGTGCGCGAAGTCAAGCGGGCGAAAGCCGTGAGCCACGTGGGTGCGAGATCGACCAGGCAGATGGGGAGAGGTCCCAAACCTCGGGGTGTTGAGATCGTACCACAGACCTCTTGGTCATAAACTAACATGGACCCTGAGAATGGGACCCAGGAAAGAGCGTTTTCCTGTACAAACCAGTGGTTTTCAGGGTCTTTGTTAGTTTTCCACGGGGTACCTCTTGGTCATAAAATCACATGGAACCTGACACCCACGCCCGGTTTGTAGAGGAAAATCATCTTCCAGTCTGGTCCATGTTCAGGTTCCATGTGCATGTTCCCGGGTGTACCTCTTGGTCATACACTTGGGGGTATCAACCAATGGTCAAACCAACCAACCAACCAACCAATGGTCAAAAGCCATCTATGGTTTCCGACTGGTCGCAAGGACTACTCCCCGTTCATGGCGCTCGTCCAGCTGTCCTCGCCGCGATCTTCCCAGTGTCCATTCTCTTCCCATTTGTCCTTCCTCGGGCTCAACACACAGCGTCAGGCGCGTTAAGGATCCGAACCACCGTAAGATGCTTACACTCTGACTCACGAACATGGAATGTCTTACTAGAATCTCCTCTAAATGTCTAAAAGTAATGGGTTTTCCACTTCCACGTTGTGAATGGAAGTGCACCGGTCCTGTTCTCTGCTTAACAATGGAGCCATCTAAACACCATAACATGCGAAGCCCCTCTTGAGTTGATGCGAACAATTCACAGTAGTGCAGGCTTACAAGTGGATGACCTATTACTCAATTCTGGGCAAAACTACGAGGTTCTTGTTCCATGAGTTCATAGTCAGACTCATCAGACTCATAGGAGTTGGTTGTTCATCACAGACTCGTAAAAGTGTATACGAATGTCTTTTCCTCAACATCTCTCAGAAACAATTCTCTGGGTGGACTTCCAAAAGGGACGACCCCCTTTTCGTCATCGTCGCTTCAAAGTCCTTTGATTCCAAGGCACCCAGTATTGCGTTTCCGCCACCTCCAGGCGTCAAGGAGGTGCGGATGATGTGGTCGCAGTGCTGACATTGGACCCTAGAATCCATGAGTTTAGATGGCAATGGTTTTAATATGAATGTGTTAATCTACCTAGAGCCCATTTGACCTCTGTTTTGATAGGAAAAGGCAATATTTTTGGGTGGTTGGTGATCCAAAATAGAGGTCATTCAGGTTCTAGGTATATACTAGTATATATATATATATATGTTTCATCCTTCAGAAGGTCTTTGGGAACTGCGTGCTTACATCTACAGACCACCTACTGATGGGATGTCTTGTTTGACATTTATCAAAGCGCAGTTGATCCCAGTTGAGGGACTTGAAGGACACTCTTGTTTGACGAATCCCTTGCGTGATAGCAAGGAGAGTCTTGTGCGAGACCTTCGCTTCACATTCTTTTGTGCAACACTGCTGTACAACATTGTTCGGGGACGCTCTTGTTCGACGCTCTTGTGAACATGTGCCGTGCACCACTAAAAGCACTGTCCACTCTTGGTTGAAACCTGTCGCGACACTCGTAGGACGCGACACGAACGAACGCGGAACAACGCTCGCTGCGACACTCTTGCTCGACGCACCGACACGTGACGGCAGCCCACTGGGCGGGACGGACACGTGACGGACACTCTTCGAGTCCGGACGGGGCTTCGCCGGATCCTGACCGGTTAGGCGCCACGGGGCTGCGAACGTTGGGCACATGGGAGTGCTTCTCCATGTCCGGTACCACTGCCTGTAGCTTGGCGAAACTCGACTCGCCCTGACTGAGTCGATCCTGGTCCGCAGCCGTTTCCTCGAAGCTTGAGAGCTAAGGAGACCGAGAGCAAGCGGATCACGGGACGCCTGCGTTTGAGATACTGCCAGGCTGAGTCATCCAGCAAGTTATGCTTGCATCCAATGTTTTGACATGCAATGCAATCAGCTTCCCGCGTTGCATCTCTGAAGACATCGAGCAATGCACAACATGAACGTGGAAGGGAATTCCCTCAACATGTCTCCATGGGATTGCTCAAAGTGAGTGTTGGGGTCACAGGCACTGAAGCATTCACAAAAAGATAACAAAAAAGAAAAAACTACCTGACAACGCAAATCCCGATGGCAGGGCGACGTCAAGTGCTGACCACACAAAACACTGCACCTGCGCAACGTGTCTGCACTATTTCACACGAATCTGACACCTCATGCTTCCATCCAAGACCTCCTCCAAACGCTTCCCCCAACAGGAGGGCCATGTTCATCACACTGCAAAACGTTTCCCCAAACAGGTTTCCAAAATGAAAGCAACGTGGTACGAACCAGGCTATAGTCACCCCCAGACTGAGTTCAAGGCTCAGCACCCTTCACTACTTATTTATGACTCTTGAGGACCAGAAAACCCACCCATTTGAATTGGACATCCTCTTCATATGGGGGGTTTATGGTCCTCAAGAGTCTACAGAGTCTACATGAGACGCTCCTTGCGGCAAAAATATGCACAAAACTATGCACAAAACCAGATCTGATGGACTCCAGCATCGATCAAACCATCAAACGGCCGATCTTCAAATGTGTGTGCACCACCTTGGTTAGTCCAAGCGCTCCGCGCGAGAATGGTATGCTGAAAGATGTGCAAATGTTGAAACTCCATCTTTTCTAAGAAGCTGGGGCTAGGAAATGGGCTTTGAAGTTCCCGACACAAGCCCATTCTCTTCCCCGACACACGCACGTAAGCCCACGCTGCTTTCGTCACTGGAACGCCGTCTCACGGACCGGACGACTCGACGGAAGACGACGACGCGTTCAACGCCACGTTCGACGACAACCCGAACTCGAGCTCCGCGCTTCTGCCGTTGCTTCTTCGCCCACTTCTTTGGATCCCTCCAAGGGGTCTTGCACTTGGGACACTCCTGGAGAGAACGATCTGTACGGAGAGAACGAGAGGAGATGGATGTGGAGATGGATGCGGAGATGAGAGTGGGTGGGTGTTTTCGTAGAACCAGATTCACAGTGGAAGTGGACATAGTGGA